ATTATTTCCCGATTCGACGTGGTTTGATATTAGGTTGGTGTATATTGTTAAAGATTCTTTAGAAAATAAGATGAAACAATTGTATGACGCACTTGTTAATCTTCAATACTAATTAAACTGAAGTCAACTTGCGAAAAAAATAGCTCCGAAAATTTAATCGGAATATTTTCAAAAGCCACTAGGACTTGAAATAAAGTATATACTTGTTACATTACGACGTGAAGAATATGATGACGAATAAGAATAGAAGTAGAATCAATTAATTAAAATAAAAAAAAATCACGTACATATCAGATTAAAATTCCCCACACTTTACATTAAGATTCAGTCAGTCAGTCAGCTACAACGTAGGACCAGGCACATATGTGCATCGGTCCAGGTTGCCATACCTCATTAACACAACAAGATCGACAACGGATTCATAAAAGTAGTTAATTCAGAGGTGGTAATATATAGAAGAAAGATTGCATATAAGGATATAGTATAGGAAGAAAGAATTAGTTCGTAGAAAGAAAGATATGAATCGATCTTAATCTCTTAGTTTAAGGGAAGATAGAGAGTGTATGCACTGACGCCATTGTGATCAATTCTGAGCCATGTCAACCAGAATCTCCAACCATCGGTTACGAAAGTCACGCGGACCCCAACCAAGTAGTCTGCATCTACCAACATGGCTCAGACTAGAAGTTAGTGTCTTCAAGCACAGATGCCACGTTTTGGTTTGGCCGCCCCTAATTCTCTTCCAACCATCTCTAACACCCGTCGTGGTAATCGGTGTTCGGGCATACGTAACACGTGGCCCAACCATCTCAGTCGATGAAGATTCACAACCTCATCAACTGATTTACCGTCATTCCCTAATACCCTGCGTCTGACCTCACTATTACTTACCCGGTGATCCCAACAGATGCGAGCAATATTTCTAAGGCATCTGTGGTCAAATACTAGTAGCTTACGGGTGTCTTCTACTCTTAAGGGCCATGTCTCGCTGCCGTAAATTAGAACAGAACGAACTGCCGCGCAGTATACTCGTCCCTTAATTGATAGACGGATTTCTCGCCTTCGCCATAGGTGACGTCAGTTGGCAAAAGCCAAACGAGATTTTCGAATCCGTGCTGAGACTTCGTCAGACGCCAACCCATTATGGCTGATCATACTTCCAAGATAAGTGAAGTTGTCAACGCGTTCGACTACTTCACTCCCTATCCTTAGTTCAGGTGTTGACGCAGACCAGTCCTGAAGCAGCAGCTTGCGTTTAGAGGGAGAGAAGCGCATCCCAAACATTCTGGCATTGTTGCTCAGTGCTACCAGAAGACTCTGCATTTTATCAGCGTCTTCACCAAACAGGACTATGTCATCTGCGTATTCTAAGTCGATAAGTGGACCTCCTGGAAGGAGATCAATACCCGAGAATTCAGTCGACCAGAGTGTTATTTCCATCAATAGGTCTATGATGAAGTTAAACAAAAATGGAGAAAGTGGATAGCCTTGACGGACACCACTTGAGGTTGCAAAAGTAGAAAACAGTTCGCCATAAGCCCTGACTGGACTAGTAGTGTTCGAGTAAAGAGCCTTCACAAGGTTTATGTACTTCTGAGGTACGCCTTTCAATGACAGACACTGCCACAGAGTTTCGCGGTCTACAGAGTCAAATGCTGCTTTCAAGTCAAGAAAGACCACCATCGTCGGACGCCGATAGGTATGCCTGTGTTCTAGAACCTGACGAATGGTGAATATGTGGTCGATGCAGCCACGACCAGGTCTAAAGCCAGCTTGGTTCTCTCGAGTTTGTAGTTCACGAGTCTTAGTTAGGCGTTTGATAATTATCGAGGCCAGTATTTTAGATACTGTGTTTGTTAAACTAATCCCTCTGTGGTTGTCACAGGATGATTTTGACCCTTTCTTATATATTGGGACGATAAGTGATTGCGACCAGTCAGATGGGATAACGTCTAACTCCCAGATTTTAGCTAAAGTATTAGTCAACCTAATGGCTAAAATTGGACCACCATCCTTAAAGACCTCTGGAGCCAATCCATCTGGACCAGCTGCCCTTCCTCTTTTCAGATTAACTATAGCCTTTTGAACTTCAGCAAGAGTTGGGGGACCTACTTCAATGTTCCATTCACATTGTCTGGGAATGGAGGGTAATTGTAGAGTAGCTGAAGGCCAGCAGAACTGTTCTCTAAAATGTTCCGCCCATCGTTCTAAACGTCTGGACTGGGAGCAGATGAGAGTATCATCTTTTTCCGAAATAATCTCACTTACACTTGACTTATTAATTCCAGTTTCTTTTATTAGTCTGTGAAGCTGTCTTGTGTTCTGCAACATTAAGATTACGGAAAACAAAATAACAGAATATTATTAGATAATTGTATGTAAACAATTTTTATTCTTTTGAAAAAAATGTAAATAGATTAGATTTCGGAATACAAATATACAGATAAACGGAATACAACCATTAAGACATTAAATAAGAAACAATAGTTGAGCGAAGTGTCAATACCAGGAAAGGTCTTCAACAGAGTGTTGCTGAACCGGATGAAAGATGCAGTAGACGCCCAACTTCGAGATCAACAAGCTGGATTCCGTAAGGATCGATCGTGCACAGACCAAATTGCAACACTACGTGTCATCGTCGAACAATCAGTTGAGTGGAACTCGTCACTATACATCAACTTCATTGATTATGAAAAGGCATTTGACAGTGTGGATAGGAGAACGTTATGGAAACTTCTTCGACACTACGGTATGCCCGAGAAGATTGTCAATATTATCCGGAACTCATATAACGGACTACAATGCAAAGTCGTGCATGGAGGACAGGTGACAGACGCATTCCAAGTAAGGACCGGAGTCAGACAAGGCTGGTTACTCTCTCCCTTCCTCTTTCTTCTGGTGGTCGACTGGATTATGAGGACCTCGACATCTGAGAGAAAACACGGAATACAATGGACAGCTCAAAATCAATTAGACGATTTGGACTTCGCAGATGACCTAGCCCTCCTATCCCATACACACGAACAGATGCAGACAAAGACAGCCAGTGTAGCAGCAGTCTCTGCATCAGTATGCCTCAGCATACACAAATGGAAAACCAAGGTCCTCAAATTCAAAGCGGAGAACAGCAATACAATCACTATTGATGGCGAAACTCTGGAAGATGTAGAATCCTTCACATACATGGGAAGCATCATCGATGAACAAGGAGGCTCAGATGCAGACGTAAAGGTGAGGATTAGCAAAGCAAGGACAGCATTTCTACAGTTGAAGAACATATGGAACTCAAAACAACTTTCAGCCAATATCAAAGTGAGAATCTTCAATACGAACGTCAAGGCAGTTCTACTGTATGGAGCTGAAACTTGGAGAACTACAACAACCACCATCAAGAAGGTACAAGTATTTATAAATAGCTGTCTTCGCAAGATACTCAACATCCATTGGTCGGATACCATCAGCAACAGCCTTCACTGGGGTAGAGAACAAACTAGCTTCAAGCTGAAGAGAAAATTAGGAAAAGACGATGGAAATGGATAGGACATACATTACGCAAATCATCAAACTGCATCACGAGACAAGCCCTAACTTGGAATCCCGAAGGGAAGCGGAAAAGAGGAAGGCCTAAGAACACATTACGTCGGATAATAGAAGCAGATATGAAAAGGATGAACAACAAGTGGAAGGAGTTAGAAAGGATTACCCAGGACAGGGTTGGATGGAGAATGCTGGTGAGCGGCCTATGCTCCTTCACGAGCAGTAACAGGCGATTACTAAACTTTTCTTGTTTTTAAATTTTTTTTAATACCTTTGTTTATTTAACCTCACTGTCATCATGTCTAATAGAAGTTTATTATCAGTATTATTATCATCCTGTAAAAATAAGTATATATACTTGCGATTGTACAGCTTTATAATTGAATTCACCGAAAACAAAACTCTTCGCTGAACTATTCTTTCTTATTTAATATACATATGTTTCACGATTAATGTGATTGTCTAATTTTACTGAATGCTAACCTTTTCTACAGTATACATTCTTCATTTTAAATAGAAACATCTTAATGTATATTTTTTCTTTTAAATGTCAGAATATAGTCAGTGTTTTAAATAATAATCGAAACTTCTAGTCTGTAGTGTTGATAAGATTATCATTATAAAATTTGCTATTTATACAAGAATTTGATATGATGAATAAGAACAGCAGAAAAAAAAACATATATACAAACAATAAATTATGATATGAAACAGTGATAATAAATAATATGACTTAGTCATCAAGTACAAATGTTCATGTGTTTTAAAGACGTCATGCATTCATTATACGAGATACCATAATGTTATACAAAAAAAGTTTGTGAAGGATGATTGGATCTGAAATCACTGACCTATAGCTACACAAAAATGAAATTCTAATATTCATAATAAAGAAATCACTAAAAGGAAAACCAAAAAAAACACACCCTTACTTAATCAGATACGAAATATCCAAACATTTTAACCAAACACTTATTTAAATGATGAATCGTATGTTACTCACTAGTGAAGGAGTTTGAAGAAAGAGTAATCAGTTGATTTTTTTTAACCGAAAAGTTCGGAACAACATAGTAATTTATCTTTGAATAGTTGTTATTGTTGCGCTACATCACAAATTGATTAAAGTTTCAGATGGAAACCACTTTTATTTTGACTCAAAGATTTAAAGGATATTATCTTTCCGAAATTATTAGGTACGAGCCCATATTAGGCTAATGGGTATAGAAAGTGATGCGAAGTCATTGAGTAATGACGTCATAGCTATAACTATGATATGTATGAAGTTATATTCCAACTTAAGAGTTCTACTAATACAAGCTGAAATGATATACATTCATTGTGATGGTAACATACAATTCATAAGTTAGTTAAACACAATAAAAATATAAATAAATCATTTATTTGAATAAATATAGCAAAAATAAACAAAAGCCTTATTTAACATTTAATAGTAAACAACTTACCCCATTTCTTAAAATATAATGCTCCAAAGTACGTGAATTATCTAACCACAAACCTTTCTTATTATCTTCATGTGGTAGAAATAAACCATAGTCTTTAGCTAGTTAATAATAACAGAAATAACATCAAACAGAATGGTAAGCAAAAAGAATATGACGCTGACATCGATTACTGCTATTATTATTATTATTATTATTATTATTATTATTATTATTATTATTATTATTATTATTATTATTATTATCGTGGATAATACAAATACTGATATACAAAAAGCGATAAAACAGAAATGGTGAGATATTTGTTATTTTCAAAATATCTGAGAAATTACTCATAATACCTCCTATATAGGTATAAGATGGTAGGTGATATTACTACAATGCGGTTCTTTTTTGTATAATGATAGTTAGATAAATATTCACTAATGTTCATCATTAAGAGAAATCTTTTAAACCAAACATAAGAATAGTTGGAAATAATTATTTGTTAAGGAATGCAGATGAAATACTTAGCAATCAATCGTGTCTAATATACAATACGTTGATAACTTCTAACGGGATTTCTAAGCTACCGTTAATCCGTAACTCTTGAACAGTAAAAGAAATAAGACAGAAATTGTGTTTTTAAGGTTAAGTTATAAGCATGGAAATCAATGGAGAATATAGAAATTCTCGCAGGATTTGAAAAATAAGTCAAAATTAGTAATATTTTCAGCATTTAACTAACTGAATAGTAAGTCAGAAAATAAATACATTGACTTCTATAATTTGCTGCTAAAATGATCAATTGTATACGTTAACTACACGTATTTACGGTATTTTAGACTTTTATAAACTTTTGAAGAACAATTATCAATCATTGACATCTCTTAACTTTACTTGAGAAAACAACTATTAGCATTTATATGGTGATTACAACTGAATACATTCATTATATGTTATAAGTACGCCAAATTGTAAATATTTTTCTCATACAATAGGAAGGTACACACACACAAAACATAAAAACAAGTATGCACATAATAGAGAAATGTTGTTTAGTACATCGAAAACAAAGTATAGTAACTATAATCATCCTCTTAACCAACAAAATATGACATTTATTTCCTATATCAGTGAGCCTATTATATTCTTTTATAGCCATGTGTAACATTAGATTATAATATAAAGAAGTAACACCATAAGTAGATAGAGTTATCGATCTGCTTCTTTTTTTCTTTACGTCACATTATTTATCACAAAATTGAATTAAGCTCGTTTGGTTGGTGTTTGTATTGTTGATAGTGTTTTGTCTAGAAAAGATAATATCAGATTTGGGATTGAATTATCCAGCTCAGAGAATGTAACACAACATGAAACACTTGCACTATCTTGACTTACAAACTCTTTCTTTGATTATCTTATAATCGTATGATCTTTTGTTATAGTGACAAGAAATCCAAGTCAAAGAAATAAGGGATTTTTTGTGGATGCATAAGTTAATAGTTAGATGAATAAGTTGATAGATTAAACACTATTTGTATAACACCACAAAATTTATACTCAAAAATAGTCACCATTAGGTTACTAGTACCTAACTTCGAGAGGCAATTCTCACAATTACAGTGAGAAGCCGTATAACTAGTTGAGTTTATTCATGTCAGGAGTGAGATACACGTCACCAACGGCAACCGATAAATGCTGCACAATAGCCACGCCAACAATCAACAACAATAAGAATAATAACAAGGGTAAGAAAATGTATCATACATTTAATATCTATCAGACTATCTACTAGTCTGACTAGGTAAACAACCAATCATTATTTTCCTCGCCCACACATCAGTATATACCATCATTTATATCCAAAAGTACTGAAGTGAAAGTATCTAAATCACTGTTTAATTAAATCAGTGTCATTTCACTAAATTAGCTAAACATAGGTATATCCAACTCCGTATTCCAAAAAAAATAATTGTAGGTCTATATGTAAAAAATGTAACGACAAACTAGGGAAAGGACGATATCATTATTATAATTGAGGTGTTAGATACTGGGATTTTTATGGGACTGCCTACAAACTATTTGAAATGGGTCACTCGAAATTTCGTCTAATGTAAACGTAAAAATCAATGGAAAACTTGGGAAGTCAATCATGGATTTACTCAATTTTCACTAGTCAAAGTCTTGATAGTAACAATAACCATGAGTGTTTTTTTGTTTCATTTTTCTGTGTCGACTTTGCACGTTTCTAATCAACTGTTATTATTTTGGGTCCACTAACTATCTGTACGCTCGAACGTGATTCTTTTGCTACTATACATACTGAGTTATACGATTTCAAGCTATTCTGCTCGAATATCAAGTTTTTCTTACACTCCAACTTCTTCCTGTTCTAGAGACTAATCTTTGAAGTCCTGTGTGGCAGCTGCAGTTATTGAGTCCGTAATAGAAGTGGTCTTATTAGAGTAGCTTATTCGTCCCTTAAATCGCAAGTATGGTAGGCTAACTGAGAACCGCAATACATCGTTTTTCTTGTAACAAAACTGGACCCCTACATCATCGAATTGACTTTGTTCATGTTTCTTTCTTTCTTTCTGTTTTAGAGAGATGATAAATTCCCTATTTATCTACAACCAATACTGTGTGTGCGTGTGTGTAGCACCACATTTATGGGATAAAACTGAGACAGTAGAATGTAAAAAAATGGTTTAATGCAGGAGTTTTTATTTTGAAATGAAAGTATCAATAACTTAGTGTGAGAGTGACAGATGTATGTATGAAATTAACATCTGTACACAATTATTTGTGAAAACGTAGGCAGATTAAACAGTTCCAACCACTTATATATATATATATATATATATATATATATATATATATATATATATATATATATATATATATAACTTTTATTACAGAATACTGGAACAAATAAGAAATTATGTAGCTGGATATCAGGTCAAAACTGACAATTGTTTTCAATGTATTTTCGTGAATCCTTTATAATATAAACAGATATTTCAGATACAAATCAGACATGTTCAAACATATCTTGATTATTATGGTTAAGATGATACTAATAGTTTGAACTACACAAGTCGATCGATAGCATGTAATATATGGTATTATATACATACGCAGAGAATAGCAAGTATAAGACAGGTTAATATGTATGCCGTATGTATTAATAATAATTAATATGCTAAATATCTGTACGCTGAAAAATGCTGTCGACTGATACAAAGATTGCACGTCACAAAAACTGAATTACTCTGTGGATGCCACTTTGTGCATGAATGAATGTCAAAGATTTTTTTCTCACAAGATTCACCCTCAAGTAAAAACAAACTTGAATCTAATGATATGATAAAAGGACTGGGGTTATCTGCAACACTTTACCTTTCAGTATATTGTACCCAACACTTTCTTCCATCTTTCCATTCATTTAGTGGACGAATGATGGACATTTGGACTTTAATCTTTATCAAGAATTTCATTTGGAACCTTAACTTTCATTACATAGATTTATGCCTTTCATTCTCCGTGTTGGATTGCACTCCACTGAAATTTTTCATATCAGGCAAATCTAGATAACTCCAACCACTTAAAAAAATCTTTATTAGAAGTTATACTTCAATATCCAATATTCACTATCAGATGAATGGAAAAAATGATCGAAAGTACTGGTTACAACACATTGAATCAACATTAGAAACACTGAGAATGAACTCAACTAATAGAAGTGTATGGAAGTTGTTGAGTTTTTCAAACGAATGTTTTGTTCTACATTATATGCACCAAAGGTGAGAATGAATCGTCCCGGAAAAAAAACAGATGAATAATATAGAGATCTAGTGGAGACTCGTGCTTTCACATTTTAAAAAAGGATGCATAAAGAAAATGAGCAAAAGTCAAATGATGATGAAATAAAGGAAATTAGTTGAAAAGATAATTCTGGGTCACTGAGTTTAGATTATTCAAAAGTCTTTAACAATAAAATATAGACCTTCATATGTGACTAGAGAAAATAATCAATCAGTGAATGGAGTAGAAGCATATTTTAATCTTTACCCTTTTAATTGAATTGTTCAGTTTCTTATGAACAACATTTGTAGTGAAATATAAAAAGTTGAATTCAAAAAATTCTACTGAACATTTGATTTAGTACACAAGATTTTCCATAGTTTCTTTTTTACTTCTTGTTCGTTAGGAACACTAATAATCGATAAGTGGTAGTTAAATATTTGTTTGGTATGGCAAGCAACAATTAAACTTAATAAGCAGACCTTAATTTCACGGGTCAGTGAATGACCTAAAAACCAGCTATATCTCATAATTATTACTGCTTTAAGTGGTAGTTTAGTTATTCAAATATTCTGTAATTAAGTATTATTTCGTCACATCAAATGACTCCTTACTAGCTAGTTGTTGTGTATTTTTATATTCCTTTAGTAGGGCTTTGTACGAACAATCTGATTTTTGCTAGACACTATATCGCCATTTCGGCTGTTCAGTCATGATCAACGTAGGGCTTGGTATGAGTGTACGTTAGCCCAGATTGCCATACCACAACCTCATGACGAGGTGAAATTAACAAAGATGAAGAGCAAGGGTTGAAATAATAATAATAATAATAATAATAATAATAATAATAATAATAATAATAATAATAATAATAATAATAATAATAGACTAAACAAAGAAGATATGGTTCAACAAGATGAAATGAATAGGTATACATGAAGGAATACCGGGACTGAAAAGATCTAGAGGAAGAGTAAATGCAACTGATTCTAAACCAAATCACTCACGTCATATACAATTTAGGTGTATGAAAGCATAATTTACGTCCATACAAAACTACTTTTTCCATAGTAACACCAATAATCGATAATAGGAAAATATCTATCTGGCATCTCCCCTTCACTCCTAATAGTATTATACTATTAAATACTTTTTAAGAAAAATGGCTTCTTTTGATGATATTACGATTATTTAATCATGTTAACTGATAGTTGAAGATAATTATCAGAATGTTTTGTGAGTACTTTTCTAGTACATTCACGGCTTTCTTGTTTATCGATTTAAATGCATAAAAATTATTATAGTACAATAATCTCATACTGACACAGTATAAAGTGATGTGTTGTAGGCTAGAGCTAGCTTTCATTAATTTCTCTTTGAACATAGAAACTCCAATAGTTATGATAAAACTCTTAAATATTCACGTAATTTCTTTAAGAATTCCTAAAGCTATAGAACTTGATATTAATTCACTTGTACTTTCTGTGGAGTAGTCTCATTTTCTGTAGAGTGACCACCTGTCTACCTAGTAAAAATAAAATGACTCAATCATAACTGTGTTCTCAGACATGAAGAGGAAAACCAATTTTAACCAAGTCATTAAATCAATTGAGGTTTAATTATCATCCTTTTTTCGTCGTTTTATATCTTCTGTTAATGAATAACAATAAGCTCGGTAGTGTTTGGTGAATTTATTTATTGAGATCCTGAACCAATCAGTTTTAGACCACTATTAAGAACTTGGAAGAACTAGAAGGCTGTTTCGTTCTAATATGAAACTCAGCAGAGGGCATCCACGATCCCGTACTCGGGACTCGAACCGAGGACCTTCGGTCCCGAAAAAACTAAACAATCTCCACAACCTTATACTGATAATTATCATGTGATTACTAATGACTAGCTTTGAGAAGTACTTATCGGAGTTCTAGTGAGAAGTCGTGGTCAATGGACTTCAAACGTGTTAAAGGTAAGATAGTTACTGGCAAGACCATAATTCATGGACGACCTTCGAACGAATCTTAAGTGACTTTGGGGAATTTCAGCAAATCAGGGAACAGTCGGTATAGAGTAAGAAGATATTGTACAAAATCAAGAGCTTATAGTAGATGGACTTCTTTAACATGGTTTGAAAACTTTTCAAGGTTAGAAAGACACTCTGAAGTTCTGAAATCAAATGGTATACGATACAGGGACTCAACCATGTTGTCCTATTATAGTCGACCTCTGGAGCCATGATAAAGTCGTGAAAATTCTTTTGGCGTCAGCCACAATGGTTCTATATTACTTGGGTGTAATCCAGTAGTGGGGTCTACAAAATGCCGCTGGTGGACAACGACACGATGCACGTAACCAAGTCTATGTAAGCATCGATACGCCCTCCAGTCATCCGTGTATATTGTGGTTCCCGGCTGCACATACTCTCGTATAATTGGTATTATAGTTGTAGCTTGTCGGTTTCTAACGCGTTGGGATGGTGTTTTTTGAGATGATCTATCGTATATACCAAGGACCTCTTAAGTATATTTATGGAAGTGTTACTTACCAAGTCTTCTTCAACACTTCGTCCTCTACTGAATTTTCGTTTTCTAACAACAGTTTTATCTATTTCTATGATTCTCCCAACTCCTCCAAACGACTCACGCAAGTTTACCATTTTTGTTGCACACATACCTCTACAACATTCATACTACTGAACTGCCGAAGTTTCAGTAACATCCGCAAAAGTTGCAGCCAATGTTACTGATGCCTTTATTATCCAGTTTGAAGCACTTATCATAGTGTCTTAGTCTCAATCAGGATCGAGAGAAAAAAGTTTTCGTTCTAGCAGACGTTTTCCTTCAACATAATGTTACATCGATAGACAACATCATTACGATAGTCTGCACCAAGTCCAGGAGTCATTTGATTGGTAATCCCACTTGTTATGGCCGCTCAATTATAACGTCTTTAAAATACTCTGCAAACCAATCGTACATGAGCATCGGGTACTGAAATAGGTGCTATGGACTTGAGATTGCTCAAGCGTTTCTGACTGGCTCGTCCATAAATTATAGTCTCACCCAGTTACCGACGACAATGGAGGATGGTAGCGTAATATCATGGGCTGATTGAAGCTAGAAATTGACACCGTTGGATGCCGGTATACTGGTCTAGGGGTTAAGCGTCCATACGAGACTGAAGGTTCTAGGTTCGATTCCCGTGTGCGGGATCGTAGATGCGCACTGCTGAGGAGTTCCATACTAGGACGAAACGGCCGACTAGTGCTCCTAGGTTTTCAATGGTGGTTTAAAATTGATCACGTCATGATCTTCAACGAACTTGAAAAGGCTATACTGATATCATTTTTTTGTTGTTGATATGGTTTCGAATTCGATTAAAATTATCAGAGATAATAAAAGAGGAAGAAAGTCAATAAGACGAAAATTGGTTTGAACTTCAAGTACATCAAATGTTTTAGAATGAATAAATTAGTCATACAAAAGAATTCGGTCAGAGATCATAAAGTGATAGACAACAGATAGAGGATAGATAGACAGACCAGACGGACTATAAAGCACTTAGCTTTTTCTAATAATGAATTTAACTCAGCAGGGAACAAATTTTGTAATTTTTATAAGTGGCAGTTAAAGAGAATGATTTAATATTAGACCAACGGTATAAAGAAAAAATCATGAGCTTACTTTGACTAGGTTAGTTAAAAGGTCCTATAACAGATAAATGCCTACTTCCAAAGTGGATAATAATGAAAGTAACCAATATATAAGTTTAATTTATGAACAGAAATAAACGTACAACAGTGCTGTACATCAGTAACAATGCAAATAAAAATATTACGCTGTACATACATGATAGATTTTCGGAAATTCCGTATGACACCACACACAAAACATATTTTAAGAAGATGAGTTAGAAGACAGAACAAACTAACATACAATACCATTGGAAAAGAAAGTAGAAGGCTTCAAAAACCATTTAACACCTTACATGTTAATGTAGCCTTTAAAAAAGTTATATATATATCACTTACCTAGTCTATCGAGACCACTAATTTTGATTGCGTCGGTGTCATACAATCTTTATAAGAATAGCTAAAATGATTAGTCAGTGCATAGAAGTACGCCTTAAAAACGTTCTCCACTTAAAAGATAACCTTTTTATAGAAAAAATAACAACATCCGTTACAGCATTTTTCCCCAAGTAATAAAATTCATGATCTGGTGAGTTTTTGTCCGTTCCTGCTTTACGATGGATTATTGAGATTCACAACTTATTGTTATTTATGTTGTGTCTTAGCATGATCATACTTCAATCTACAATGAAACTGAAAATGATGGAATAATTAACCCTTCTAAGCACAATACAATTCTTAACTTTCCTTAGTTCCAAGTACATTATCAATTATTTCAGTAATGAATAGTGCTTTAAAATAAATAGATAGATGACCTGTAAAACTATACCAAGAGTTCACAAATAACGAATATTTCAAGAAGCATAAAAGAGAGAAGTAAATACATACACAGATAATATACATTTTTCCATTTAAAGATATTTTTTAAAAAATCTAATCTTTACATGAAATCCCACAGTAACTGATATAAGCAACACGTTGAAGAAAGAAATGAAATAAATGAAGAAAAAAAATCGAATTTATTACTACTTACCACCATCTGTTTGATCTGATTCACGTACTTGTGCTCGGATACGTTCACATGCTTGACCTACAGTCATTTGAGCATCAAAAGCAGTTGTTTTAGTAATGCCAGCTTTAGGTAAATGAACTCTTAGTACTAGTGAACGACTATCACCTAACATAGACCTAAGATATAAAAAGAAAACAGAAATTTTAAATTACAATGACTATTATTATATGAATAAAATGTGAACATACAAAAAATTTTCCAGTATACTTTACATATAGAAAGCAGTAGAATCCAAGATGAGTATATCATCCTACTTGGAATATAGTTAGCTAAATCTAATTCCATGTCAGTGTTGATATTCACACTGTTAGCCACATACAATATATTAAAACTTATAATATAATGCTAAATCTAGGGAATTCGCTCAAGATGCAGAATTAAAAAAACTGATTAATTATAATTTTTCATATTAACAATGGGGAATTACAAACTCTTACTACTACTGTGGTGTGGGTCACTTATATTCACATAAGTAGTATATAACGGTGGTCAGACATAGAATGTATTTCAGCAGAAGATCGATAAGGAAAGAACGGAAACGGAACGTAATCGGTATGAAAACGCGTGAACAATGAAATCTGAGACAATCGACTGATATTTGCAAAAGAAACAGTGAAGTTTGAGACGATGGATTAATATTTTGCAAATTAACTATTTAGTATATGGTTCTCAGATTTTCATGAGATGCTCTGTAATTTTATGCCATATATATTTGATTGTGCCCGCTCGTGTTCTTGTTCACTACTACTACTACTATTACTAATAGTAATAATAAGTAATATTAAATTAAATGAATTGATACAAGCACATGAAAATAAATTTAAAATGCATCAACTAGGAACAAACAAACAAACAAACAAAAAAATACCCAGTTATAAAATGAAACGTTCAGGTAAGTGATCAATTGAAATAATAAACAAACAAAAAAAATCAAAAGAATTTTAATTAGTTCATCATGCAAGAAATTGTTAATTAAATTATTTCTTCCAAAAAAATTTTAAAAAATTTTTTCTTTAAACAATCATGCAAAATGTTAAACATTTATGCAACAACAATAATAATATGAATTGAGATTAAGTTATAAATATATATTTTACATTGAATTATTTAATGAAAGAAACTAAGAAAATATATGACATTGTTAAAATTAGAAAATACTAAATATTTTTGATAAAATCAAAATATTATTAGGGAGAAATATTTTTTGAAATGATAGAAATTTGTAACTTAACTGCATATTTTTGGTGATATTTTATTCTTAAAAGGAGTTTTGTGGAGATTTTAGTCATTTTAACAGTTGAAATCATGAGTCATTTGAAACTAGACCACCATGGAAAACCTGGAATCACTAGATGGCCATGTCGTCCTGCTGAGGAGTCTCATACTGGAACGAAACGGCTGTCCAGTGCTTCCAGGTTTTCCATGGTGGTCTAGTTTCAATTGACTCATGATTTCAACTATGAATATCTTATCCTTTGAGTTAGATGAGGGTATTTTTAGTGTAAAACCTTTACTGACATTTTGTATATTATTAGCGTCTACATCTATATATAGAAGTGAAGGTTATTCTACAAGTGTTAAATCACTTCATTCTGATTATCTTATTTTAGATTAATTGTTCCTACATATTGTTATCTTCAATCACTCTTTCATGTCTATCAACTATTTAATTCGGTTGACCTCTGATACAGTTAATTGATAGTTCTTGTATGAATTGACTAAATGGATCTGTTGTTGTGTTTATTGATTAATGATCAGTCTGAATGTCATGGTTCAGGAGATTCCCTGGCATTCTTATGACATCCAATAGATCTCATATCTGTGTTTGTCTACCTCCACTGATATTAGTGGTAACATATAGTTTCGTTCTATCGCTAGTCTGTTTTTGTGTATGCGTACACGAAGTGGACGAACACCATTCAATGTAATGTTTCTTGCAGTTGACACAATATCCAACTCACAAAAGACGGAACTACCAGATCCTAGACAAAGAATTACGCGAATTTTAATTACAACTTTTTTTCTTACAATATCACATGAAATGCAAGCAGAAATTAACCCATATATGGTCATTACATATTCTTTCTCATGAACCATACACTTCCTAAGTGGAGCGTTAACGTAGTGATTAAAGACCGTACTTTTTAGTCGCACGGTCGTAGATGTTAATCTTGCCATACTTAATTCGCTTTGACGAAAAGGATAGTATGACTAGCTATAAACTAGAACCAAGTAAACAAACCTGCATCTGACATGAGTTTTACTTTTATTATTTTTTTATAGAAAAGAAGACTCAGATGAAAGACCAAACTTTCAATTCAAGCATTAGATTACTGCTTTCTGAAAACACGCTAACCATAATGAAAATATTTTTGTAAACAGATTTATACCAAGTGGGTTCTATTAATAACATATATTAAACAATACGGCTCATCAGTAAGATTTGTTTAGAAATGATCAGGTATAATTTAGCTAAGGAGTTATTGAGACAGTTGTACTGTTTGTCAATCACAAAAGTAGTTTAATCAATTCTCATGCTTTCACATTATTTATTTTAGGCAGTATTGTACTCTGTAAAATAGTGATTTGATTTCATTAACCATTAAAAAGATTCCTATATTTTGAGGTTGTGCAGAAACAAAGATTTTCTATGTGAATGACCGGAAGGGATAATTATGTATACATTTTTTGAGAGTACTACATGTAATACAATTCAAAAGTGAAATAAAACATTCATTGTTTCGGAGAAAATAAAATATTTTCAGTTAACTGAATAAATGTAAAAATTTCAGATAAAATCATAAGCTTAATCTGATTGATTTCAGGATGTCTAGTGATAATTATAGAAATTAATAGGCGGTGTCTTCTCTACCTGGAGTTTATTAGTTGAATATATATTTACACACCAATGGATGAAGACTCTGGATGACATGACTCAGAATCGATCACAATGGTGTAGGTGTATACACTCTTTGTCTTCCCTTGAACCATGAGGTTAAAATTGCTTTATATCCTTATTTCTACTAATTAATTCTTTCTTCCTGTACACTCAATCTTTTATATATCACTACCATTGAAGTAACTATTTCTATGAATTTCGTGTTCATCTTGTTGTGCTAATGAGGTGTGGCAACTTGGACTGATGCATATATGTGCCTGGTCCTACGTTATAGCTGACTGACTGAGGCATATATGCTCAAGATAACGGTAAGTACAGTAATGCAAATTTTTGTTATCTAACTCTCATAAACTCATTTTATCAGAAAGATTGTATACAAACAGTATAATCATCACTCAGTAGGTTGGAAGAAAGCTGTGACATCAAGACAAAAAATCAGTTCATGAAGTTATTGACTGTTGGTTGGAACTGTGTAGATTATCTAGTTAGGTTTTAAGTCATAGTTGTGACCAGTGGTTAGAGAACTGAAGTAGCATAGTTCAAAATTTGTCAAAAGGATCCAGAAGCAATGATATTTATTTTCTACGATATCCTGAATTTCAATGTTATCTAGAACTCTGTTCTCTATGTTTAATTTCCCTTAGTATAATTCAAACAGCTGTTACTAATTTCCTTCCATTGTGCAGATTAAGATGTGCCAACTTAGGTCCACAAATATACGTGCCAAATCCTACGTTGTTTATCGTTTTAAAATGATTAGTAATTTCTGAAATTATGAAACATGTTCATGGGATACATGATAATATACATACATTAAAGATGAAAATCAGTATACGCATTAGCTTTTGTTATATTTCCTACAGTAAGACATACAACACACACACAAATCTTCATTGAAGAGTACGTCTTACCAACCATCAAAGGATTACATGTAATCGACTATATATATATATATATATATATATATATATATATATATATATATATATATATATATATATATATATATATATATATATATATATATATATATATATATATATATATATATATATATGCTTATTTCTCCTCTTGGTTAACAGTAGAGATATTGATCGAAATATAAACAAATTGAAAACTAAACAATTTAGCCAACCAATATGAAAAGTCAAATCCGACTGAAACTAGGGATATGTGTGTTTATGTATTTGTGTATTTATACAAATATATGTCTAGATGTATATCAACCAATCATTTTTAAACTTCAACATTATTCTTGATACTAAATCACAGTAAAAGTGTACGTCTGAAGCGATATCAATGGCACTTAAAACCATTCATGATAAATAAATGAGAACGTTGAAAATCTTTATTGTAATATTAGTTGATTTTAACGTGGCACATCCCATTGAGCCAGTGTTGAATGAAAGTACACAATGGTTACTAGCCTTATATACGCCACGAACATAAAGAATTAAAAACCTTCGTACACACTGACTTTAGAACATTTGATTTTATGATAAAAGGTTGAACGAGTGAATGAGAAGATGAAATAATTTCTGAAATATCAATCTATTCTATTTACATACCATTAGTGTTTTATTTGCTTTTCCAATCCATTTTCGATAGAATAATTAAAACATAACAAATTTTCATCAATTAAGATAACATTCAAGATAACTAGGTAGAAACAATATTTTTCTAGTTAACAGAAAATTAATTAAATGAATGAACTGATTAATAGATAAATATTTATCATAATGCAAGTAAACATCATTTTCGGTTACAATTTGAAATGAGAAAAAAAACGAACTAGATAGAACTTTCAGTGAGATTCTTAGAATGTCAACTTTTCCTCAGTATTACATCGGGCAATCATCTATTGATATTTACTAACCTAACAAGAATTAAAGTAAATCAATAGGCATTCCTATTAACAAAAAATAAAAACATTTAAATTCACTTGGTATTGTTTGGCTTGTACCTTCCATTGAGGTTTAGGACTGCAATTGATCAGTTTGTTATTGGCATATGTGTATACTGTGCGTATGCCTCGATATTGCCTTAATTCACAAGCTTTTTGTAAGCAATGATGGATAGTGGCTACAGTGGAATCCAGGACGCGCGTTTCGTCCCATTTGGGACTCGTCAGCTGGATGTACCTGCATCTCAGATTTGAGGTTCACTCTGGGACTCAGTAGCTGAGTGTACCAAAGCAATGGATAAGAACTGACCAATCAAATTGAGATTGAAAACAGAGTCATTGAGTAATGCTGAAAAATTCTCTGGCTACGAATGATTTTCCTCAATACTGAATAATCCACACAAAGTAATTGATTGAAGGTAACCTGTGTTATGTTTTTATTCACAACATCTACAGTGCACAGATCTTTTTAAGTGCCATAAAAAAGCAGTTTCATATCCATAGTTTTCTGATATTTAAAAAACAAACAGATATCAGTTGTATTCGGTTTTTTATTAGTCGAAAAATATAGTCATGTTTAAAAAGTATTTTTTTCCAAAATAAGCATATACTCATTTGTGAATCTAAATTGATCAAAATGCCCATCTAAAATGCGAAATATATTGAAATAACAGAGTTGAAATGATGACACTACAAGGGAATTCCGATATATATTGTATTAGACGAAAAAAAATACGAAACCATTATTACGAACTTTATTAATTTAGCTACGATATTTAAAAAATTTCTAACAACAAATGTCAGCCATAAATAAGTTGTGTTTTCAATCTTGTTTCCAACCCTACCTAAATTCAACCAAATAATAATAACTAACAATTAAATATTGGTCAGTTTTGTTAAGACATATTAGAAATCGCATTTAAACCAAATTGGTCAAATTCGTTAGTTGAAACAAGTAGATAGTTTAAAAGCAAAAAGCAACAGATTCTGTGGGATGATTAGCCTCAACAACACAGGAAACTAAATAGTCACAAAATATCATTAAATATAATACTAATAACAACAATAACTGGTACAATTTATGCAAACGTAGATTACAGAATTATGTGCAACGAAGTAAAAGAAATTCTGAATGAGTAAGAAATCAGTCACCATACACAGATGATATAAATATGCATGATTAACTGTATTTATGAACAGTCCATAACATTCAGTGTACAGGATAGTTTACAAATAAACATGCAAACAAATTTTGTTAAATTAGCACCTAGAAACTCTAGCAACACCATTATCAACTCCAAAATAAATAGGTAAATAAATTTGTCAGTCATTATCATGTAACCTTAGCTCACCCGACAGGAAAAGTCCACGGCATAATGAATAAGAAATTCAAATATTGGTATGATAGGCGTAGAAACTTGAAAATGCAGTGGAATACGAAATGCTAAAACTGAGCAAATAACATTTAGACTAAGATGAGTTAACCTGCCTATTGAGATATACGAAAAAAAGTAAATGAAACTATGTAATCATACATCAGTTACCGTTTTGCTTAAACCAATATTTATTGATTATCGACGCTATATCTGTATTTTTAAGCAGTTAACCAAAATAAATCTATGCTTTGAGAGAATAAAATCAACGATTTTATGGAAAATAGATTTTCAAAGTTATGAGATACGATGTGAAACCAGTAAAGCATTTATAAGTGGAAGTTTCTGAATCGTTTAATTCAATAAACTAACGGATAGGTATATGTTACTTTGAAATAAGCATTTTAGACTGTCAGGGATCTGGAATAATATAGAACTTCGTAGGCAGTTATGTCGGTTCATAAGAGAGAAATGAGTTCCGTAAAGTGACAGATACTTCGAAGTTGGATCCCATAAGTCAACGAGGTTCATGAATGGAGACTCAGATGAAAAGACAAAACTGCCCCACATATGTCCACGGTTTTTCCATCGATCGAGAAACTTCAGTCTAACGTGGAGACTGTGATTGTGATTGATCAACACATGATAATATTTAATAGAAATAAATATGTAAAAAGTAAATTATATAGGTAAAGAATATTCTGGAAATGTGTGGTTATTGTATGATCTGTATACAACAGGGAGATAAGGTTTATCATTATTTGTTTTAAATATCAGGATTTAGAGATGAATGTGTGTGATTATAATTCACTTCTGTTGACGTAACAACCTCCAATAAGGCATTGACCAATCATCTAAGAGAATGATTCCTGAATGGGTTACAAACTACACGTTTTCGTAACTCGAATATTTTAAGTTCCATGGCAAACAATCCACGGATACAGAAGAAAAAAAGGGACTTTGGGCTTGCAAAATTTAAAGACAACCATGGAAAAGTGAGTACACTTGCCATATTTATCGCAATTAAGTTTAAAGATAAGTTTTAATGAGCGTACACCTTTGATAGTAGCTCTAGAATGCAGATAGAAGCCATATCAAAAAACATGTGAAAAGGGTGAGATCCCTGTCTGTCAACCAAAGGATGAGTTTACTGTGCAGCAGTTATCCCTGTTTTACTCTGTTGCTATGAGACGTGACCTCTGAAAATAGAGGACATTCTTAGATTACTAATATTTGATTAAGGACCTCTTCGAAGCATTTCTCGTGTGCGTGACCCCGAGTGAGTGGTGGTGAAGCAGACACAAAATCATGAGTAAAGATGTAAAATCGGTTGATGAGGTAGTGAATCTTGACCAAGTGAGGTGGTTGGGAAAAATATTTCGTATTTTCAACCACCCCCTACCTTGACGTGTGATGTTCACTGGTGTTGAAGTATGTTGGAAGAAGGCTAGAGGCAACCGAGTCAAAAATTGAAATCAGTCCATAAAATCATCAGACTGAGAAATGCTGAAAGGTGCAGACTAACTGGTTGAAATGCATGCGATTAGCTCAACCAATGGTTGGAGATGCTTGGTGACATGGCTCTAAATCGGTCACAACGGCCCAGATACATTCACTTTGTCTCTTTTTATATTTTGAGTCTTAAAATTAGCGCACACATTTTATTTCGCACATTCAATCCTTACCGAATAATATTTCTATGTATAGTCTTCCCCACTACGAGTGACACCCTGGAATTTTTCTTAGTAATTCTATCTCTCTGCACTTATATGGTGTGACTTTGCCGATGACTGGCTGACTATGTCATAAAAAATAGATTAAGAACAGAAACTCACAAAATGCAGAGTCTGATACGACAAAAAAAGTTTTACTACGAACAGTTTTACTTCTGTTTGTTTAGACAGCCAGTGAGTATAAGACTAACCAATAAGTAACAAGTAGTCTTGGTCTTCATATAGATGTGAGGATAAACATCCCTTTCAAATATCTAATATGTAGTATTTTCAAACATCTTCCCTTTTGTTAGGTGGGTGAACGTTATAGAGTATATAGTAATTAGTTTGTGAACACATTATCGGCAAGTGTCAACTAGAACAAAACTTCAGTCAGTCAGTCAGTAACAACGTAGAACTTCGTACGTACGTACATCAGTTCGAGTTGCCACACCACATTAGCACAGAGATGCAGTGGTCGATTCAAATCCCGTAGTGGTAGAGGTAGTAAGAGTATAAGCAGTAATCAGGAAAGTTAGTGTTTGGAGATGCCATTTAAAGAGTATAATACAGTGAAATAAATTTGGGAAGGGAAAAAAAGAGACAAGGAGGAATAAGGAGATCAAAATTTGGGAGAACACAAAGAGTGTATGCACCTGCGCCATTGCAAAAGATTTTGAGACATGTCATTCAGGGTCTCTAACCATCGGTTGCTAACATCTCGCGGTCCCCAACCAGGTAGTCTACACCTACCAACACGACTCAGTCCACTTGTCAGTGACTTCATGAACTTGTGCCATGTTTTGGTTTGACCGCCCCTAGCTTTCTTCCAACCTACTCCTATACCACTGAACATCGTACGTCGAGGCAGTCGGTGGTTGGGCATACGTAACACGTGTCCAAGCCATCTCAACTGATGAAGTTTCACCACTACATCAATCGATTTGCCATCCTTACCTAGTACCCGTTTCCTAACAACTGCGTTACTTACTCGATAGTCCCATGATATACGAGCAATATTTCGAAGACACCTATGATCAAATACTAGTAACCAACGAATATCCTCTACTCTTACCGGCCATGTTTAACTGCCATAAAGTAGGACGGAACGAACTGCTGCGCAGTAAACCCGTCCTTTGGTTGATAGACGGATATCTCGCCTACGCCATAAATGACGCGAGTTGGTAAAAGCTAGTCGAGCCTTCTGTATCCGTGCTGAGATTTCGTCACACACCAAACCACAAGGGCTGATGAGACTTCCAAGATGAGTGAAGCGATCGGCACGCTCAATTACTTCACTCCCTATCATTAGTTCGGGTGTCAATGCAACCCAATCCTGAAGCTCAGACATAATTTTTCAAGAGCTTTTAAATTAGTACACTTCATTGGTAAGCTTCCCAGTGACAAGTACTGCCGGAAGACCGAAGATTTCTCGGCGAAAAAGATGCATTCTTATGTAGGTTTCATCACCCCGCCCCAAGAAAAATCCAAAATACTTTAATGAACACCTATTAGTAATTATCAATATACCACTAGGACGAATGGTCTGTTAAAGGTAGCAGACAACTACCAAAACGACTGAATTAATGCGCTCTTTTTGTTTCATTCAGTTATTTTGTTTACTTTACTCAAACATGTTTTCAGCTGTGTCAAGAATGGTAGTTCACTCATAGGCCTTTTAACCAATCATTTTAATGCTTAGCTACTTCTAGAATTCACTTTCTTAATGATTTAATCAACTGGAAATGTTAACTTTTGCAGATTTTGTGAGCAAAACACCAGGATGAACCAAGTATGCCAAACACACTGGCCAAACGAAAAGAAACAACCTTTTTTGAAGAATTACCTAATGGTGAGAATTCTGAATTTCTAAACAACAGGACGTTTGATTTAGATATAAATAATTGGGATTAGATAGACTAGTACAAGGTTGTCAACTCCCAGACAAAAACTACGATCCACAACTTGTGGGATGAACATGTAGACAAATACCAAACTGGTTTTTATTTATTAAACTATCTCATAAAATATAATATTGTCAATTAATAGGGCTATTTTAAAACCAAGTCATCTTTATCAGTTGAAACGTTGTTATCTGCTATAAATAAACGATGAATAAACTGTCACCAAACAAATGATAGTAAATAGGGAGTAAATATCTCAGTCAAAGTCGCCTGTCGGGTTGTGATATTTCCCGACTATAAAGCTTTAGGTCATCAGCAGATCTACCTCTCTTTTGCGTCTATAGAACAACAGGAGGTGCAAATCATTTTCAAACTAGACTCTATTGCTCGACCATGACAGTGATCAACTTATGAAACTTTGGCCGCAATAGAAGAAAGTAACGAAGGATTACTGCTTTCTTCTAGGTTTTATTCATTTTTTAAGCGTTATTATCCCAAGATTTTTGAAAAGATAATAAGCATAGCACGTTGGGGTTTGTCTCCCTATTTCGAGGAAAATCTTGTCCTGTTTGGGGGAATTTCGGAGTAACCGCCATAGAAAACTTTTGGGAAATGGCACAAAACCCCTAAAATTTCCCGAGGTCTGGGGAAAATCCCCAAAGTTTTGGGTAAATCAAGGGTTTTCCCCAATATTTCCCCGGAATCTTATAACACGTTGTGGTTTTTGCTAAACTTTGGGAGAAACTACCATATTTTTAACGACTTTGGGGGAAACCCCAAAATTTATCCAAGATAGGGATGAACACGATTTATAAGGAAGTAGTTAGTATTCACTTAATAATGACGAAACGTTGGAGATAGCCATAGAGCCAAGGCCTCCACGTTCTACCATCGGAACTTTTCTCAAGCCAAAACATACATGGCAAACCAAACAACAAAATTACATCAGATATGTGAAATACTCGTATTTCATTAAAAATTGAGAAAAAACATATAAGATTTAAAAACCCAACCAGCGTAAAATGTGTTAAAAATCTATAAGCATAAGAAAAAGAATAAATAACCAAAATTATCGGGTCAAACCATACATCAAACACCGAAATCAGCAGTTATTGTTCATACAAGCCGCGTTTGGATTCGTAGAACAATAAATCCTTTACTGACGCAAAATAACTGTTGCGTAAGAAAGAGATTAATTTTACCACAAAACTAAAATGGAACGATTATATTTGCTTGTTAGTAACAATGGAAAGCTTATTAATCCCCAAACTATTTCAGATTCAGATTTGTGTAGAAATGACTGTAGGCTGTTATTCCTGTTCTAGTATACTTCTATGGGTATCTGGCCTTCTCTTGAATGGGTCAATTCAAGGTTCGGACACTATT